CAAGTGTGGAGAATAATTACTCTCTTTTATATTCGAAGTACGTTATCTAACTTGTCACATTCATCTCTCGAAGGATTAAGCTTACGTACTTTTGAGAATTTTAGTAGAGTTGATATGTCAGTGGTTTCCCTTTGACTTTGATTAATGATAAGAGTAGCCTCCCCTGTTAAGGCAAACCTGATACATATGAACATGTTACATCTAATGGCGAGTGAGTGAGTATGGTTTTACGCCGCTTTTAGCAATATTGCAGCAATATCACAGCGGACGACACCGGAAATGGGCTTCACATTGTGCCCATGTGGGGAATCGAACCCGTGTCTTCAGCGTTACAAGCGAACGCTTTAACCACAAGGCTACACCACCACCATCTAATGGACGCTGTACGTGACCTCTTGTATTGGTTATTATAACAATGCCTACGGCTAGCAAACGCAAATTAGAACTGAATAGGTAAATAATCTTGTCTAGTGATGTTTGATTGCAAATTTTACGCATTTACTGACAAAGTCGTCTTCTCTTGTTTGTTCACGCGAAGCGATACTATGTCGTTTCTAACCCCCTGAAAATAAGTTTGACGAAAGTGTAACCAATAGATAGGCCGACCGCATTCTACAGACTGCATTTTGTGGTCCTCAAAATTCGGCTTATCTACGGTAGTATACTGTATTCACAATAATCATCATTATACTTAAGACTGAGTCTGAAACCGTCGAACCTAGTATGAATATACACATGATAAAACAGGATATGTATCATCAGGATTACAATATACTGCTACAGCAACGTTTAAATCAACAAACTATAAACGGTTGTTTAACCGACTAGAAAAAATAACGGGTTGGGTACAGCTGACAGACAGTAGAAACAAAATATCATTGACTTGCATGATTTTAATCATATCTTAATAGCTTTAATGGCATGAGAGAGCCCAGTACCATTCAGTCACCCTTCTGTTGTCGAGCTCAGCTCCCATGCTGATGTACATTTAGGTGAAAGTATTTAACTCCCGAGATATGTACCCTTTATAACGTGGTTGGTCTTACCAAAAGCAGTGCCGGTTATGTTCACGATGGGTAATAATATTTTTGACAGACACGCCCCCTGCCGGGAACAATCGACCATTCCTATACCCATCTTCCAGTTGGCCAGAGTCACGGATTGGCCTCCTCCTTCAGGCTTCGGAGATTGTGAACCAGCTTCAGTCTAACCCACTTTCCGGAGTTGACCTCCTTCTGCAAGCTGCAGACCTGGTAGAGTCCGAATCAACGTTGGTCTTTGACAAGCCCGAGTCTGGAATAAATCTTCTGTTCGAAGCCTCGGAGCTGATAGAATCAGATAGGTCCACCAGACCAACCTCCAATTCCCAGACGCCTGCAAGGTCGCTGCCCCCGAATGATGCGGCCTCTTCAGTGCCTGTTGACGTTCTCAACCCTGTGGACGCGGCGATTACATGGCTGGAGAACCACATAGCAGGCATTCGCCAGGGTAAATATTACATTCAGGTTCATTGTGAATTCTTTAACGTTGTGCATGATAGTCCAGAATATGGTATATACATGCAGGCATCATCACACATTGTCTGCTGGATCCGTGTGATTCTTCAAGCAGTTCATGGGATTTGGGTAAACAGGAAATGACAGACACGGCAGAACCACGTCCTAAGGTTGCACATGGTCCCCTGACCGCGTTTTCGAATCTATTGTTAACCGTAATTTTAAACGTTGGTTTGTCTATAGACTAACAACTAGTCTCTGAAATGAACATATTTTACTGAAAAAAGTTCATAGTAAAAGAAAATATAATATAATGAAAAGGAGCCCTGAGACTGAGGAAATCTAGACTTGCCACATTTTCTAACTTGCGTTGGCTTTCTTGGATATATTTGCTTCAGGGTCTGTACGACAGACTAGTTTGTCTACTACATAGGTTTTCTCCAAAATAATTGTAAACGTGGCATTGTACATAAACCAGTCACTCATGCGTGCATTCCATTGGGTTATGATCCTAATGTCCAGATTTACCTCCCTTGGGTAGGCCATGTGAGTACGAATCCCAGTTAGCCTGAAAGTCTGTTTCCCGGATTACCTGTGGGTTTCACCGACTGAGTGGTGTACGCCTGAGGCCTACACCATTTCGGACTTTCCCTCAATGTTATGTATGAATATACTTGAATACTGTTCATAGCGGCGCCAAATCAACCATATATATTTTGAAGAATACTTTATCATTTTCAGTGACACGTACCAGGAATGCCAAGAACGATCACTCATACGCGCATCCATTAACGCCTATCATCAATGGTAAGGAGATAGCTTGGTTTTTAACATAACAAACAATGATTTTATTAACACAGAAAGACAGTTCATTTGTAAGTTTTCATAGAAAAATATGTTTCGCGGGGTTTCCGACTGATATCACTCATCTATACTAAAGTTATCATAATCAGCAGCATTTCGGGAGGCTTGTATGGAATTGGTTATTTTCATAGTTATTGAAAGTGTCACTATTACCAACTCTACGTACTTTCAGAGGATGGTGCCGGCACTAGTCACTCACACTGTCAGCCAGTAGACTGCGCCGACCCAGTGGATACGGCCATCTTGCGGCAGGAGAGGGAAATAACCAACAGTAAAAAAGGTGAACAGCATTGCTTGTCTTCCAGTGCAATATATCAATAGGATATTAGCAAACTTTAGAACATCCTCGATAATCTCCAGGTAATACGTTCCGATAAATCTTCACTATACCCTGGATGCATCTACGGCTCGAGCCGATGATTTTATTACCTCCCTTTGCTGGCTCCACATACTCACAGTAGCCAATCAGATAAGCCGCCGTTACAACCGAGCTTGCCAATGTCAACAAAGATAGAGTTTCTTAGCAGTGCCACTCAGATTTATTTTTAATATTTTTTGTGTGTGTGGAAGAGAGAGAAGAAACATATTTGGGGGGAGGAGGGAGGACATACAGAGACAAATTGACAGGTCTGAAATCGTAAAAAAATATATGCAAGAACTTCTTCTACCTCTTTCAGAGTACCTCTGCATCAATATATTGTTATGTTGCCAAGTTTAATCGGTTAGATAATTTAAAAAGCGAAAGTGAGTTACGCTCAACTTCCCAGCGTAGACACCTGATTGGTTAAAAAGCCAACCAAGGGAGGTAATAAAATCATCGGCTCGAGCCGTAGATGCATCCAGGGTATAGTGGAGATTTATCGGAACGTATTTCCTGGAGATTATCGAGGATGACTTTAGAAATGACATATGTTTACTGGCCTATTTTAAACAAAAGGCAGAACGTTTTGGTGGTGAGCGGTGGAATTGTTCCCAACTACGATAATGTAGGTTCCATTAAAAAGTTTGTAGAAGTAATTTAGGTAAAAAGTAATGGAAAATAACACTAAAAGGTGTTTTAAGTTTTTGTGGGTTGTTTTTATATACACGTGGTACACGTCAGTATTGTTTGGTTATCATTAGATATTTGTGTGTGAAGCCCATTTCTGGTGTCCCCCGCCGCGTATTGCTGGAATATTGCTAATAGCGGCGTAAAACTAAACTTACTCACTCACTCACTCAATTTAAATATTTGTATATGTGTGACAAGACTGACTTCTCAAACATCAAATCTCTTCCAGCCACATCGCATAGTATGCATCTACTGGTATTTACACATAGATTTCTGACACAAAGATACAGATACGACGAACAATGGCAAGATGGGTTGTAGTGAGGTGCAGCAGGTTAAGAATATACATTTAAACTACAGATAAACTTTTTAATGAATGTGAACATAAATGTCGACAGACGCAGGAAAACATTTATCCTCGGATAAGACGGCGTCACCATCTACAGGCGGCTCATCTTCTGCCAAGAGCGTCACCTCGTCTTCTCGTCCTGGGAAATCTCACCGGAGGAAGATTAACGGATCAAAAATCACAAAAGTGACAACAGCATCTGGCTGCACCTGCCTCGGGCAGCATAAGAAGACTCCCAGGAAGACCAAGTCACGGATACAGAAGCAACACAGCGATGACAGGGACTATATGTCGGTCTGCTGTGCAAAGAAAACAAAGAACAATAAGGTTATTTATTATAATTTTATTGCATTTATAATGCGCTAAACTCCATTCACTAGATGAATGCTCTTGTCGCTAACAATCAAAGCACAGCACATTTTTATCCCGGAAAACCCAAGCTGCCTGTGAGGCGCTAGAAGGTTAATAGTCACATGACTTACCCACCGGGTACCCATTTTCTGCTGGGTGAACAGAGGTATTTTTTTTAACAAACTCGCCTAAGGTGAGACCACGTACATCAGTTGTACTACGTTTACATATTTATGTACTCCGTTTTCAAAATGATCAGGACAAACCTTTTATTATACAGCTTGTAGGTGCCTAACAAAAAATATCAATGTTTAATGAACTTAGCAAGTCATATAAGATTAATATTCACTCTGTATATTATCCTATCAATGTCTGAGGCACTCATCAATATCGCCAGCTTATTACATTTATCAAAAGGGCGTATGCCACAGTTGTATGGTGTCTTCTGTCATGACACGTTTCCCAAGACGTTTAAATCGACACAATTCTTCCAGATAAAGGTATATGTGTTTAGCTCATGTTTCGTTCCTGTTTTGTAATGTTGTATTCTGTTGGGGTTTTTTTCAGATTAGCAAGGTGTATGATATTATCACAAGCACCAAATGCAAGAAACGCAAGGCAAGCACACCTTCTGCAAAGATTCCCGCTCATATTTCTCCGAAAGCAAATGCGAATTGGACTTCCGGTCAAACACCGCCAGACAAAACCACATCTACCCGAAAACAGGGGACTTCCGGTCATGACGCTTCACGTCATCTTCTTTCTGAAAGGTCTTCAGCTATAAGACTGCAGTTCCCCATCTCACGGAAGAGACCCGTGCAGGTTGTGATGCCGATCTGGTCCATCAACCAGACACCCGTTCTGCCTACATCAGCCAAAAAAACCATGTCCCGGGGCTTTACGCTGTCCCAATACAGGGACGAGGCCTCTCACCAGACACCAAAATCGTCTTACTATTAATGGCGTCAGGAGAAAGAGACTCAGACACGTCGATGGTCAGTAGTCAAACGACAGTATCAAATATTTCATCCATAAATTGTTTCTGCCAGTATGTGTTTGATGCCTTTACAATTGTAAGTTTATGATTATGGTAGGAACAGTGCTGTATTGGTGTAGGGTTTCCGGTTTGAAATCAAGGGGGGCGGGGGTCACAAGCCAACTAGCTTGTTGTATAAGGTGAATAAGTTCATTGATATTTGATCAATTAATGATCCATTGGTCAGGTGCGCTGTATTCGTAGGCTGCATTCACTTTCAAATTCAGTGATGAATGTTTTGCTATGTGAAACCATCTTGATGTATATTTTTTATCCTGACCCTTGACATAAAGTTATATTTTAGACACGTGCCATTACTTTACAGAGCCCAAGAGTTCCTCTTCAAGGCTGATCACCAGTGATATATCTTACAGTCACAGACCTATTGGCGTTGTCGTGCCATGGATCAGGTCACCTACTCAAAACACAAATAGGTCAGTTGTCCGTCAGGGACATCCGCCCTACACTATATACGTCAGTTGTAAGTAAGGGACATACGCTCTATGCTATAGTGCGTCAGTTGTAAGTAAGGGACATACGCTCTATGCTATAGTACATCAGTTGTAAGTAAGGGACATCCACCCTACACTATATACGTCAGTTGTAAGTAAGGGGCAACAGTGATGTTGCTGGAATATTGCTAAAGCGGCGTAAAACCAAACTCAGTCAGTCAGTGTAAGTAAGGGACATACGCTCTATGCTATAGTACGTCAGCTGTAATTAAGGGACATACGCTCTACGCTATAGTACGTCAGTTGTAAGTAAGGGACATACGCTCTACGCTATAGTACATCAGCTGTAAGTAAGGGATATACGCTCTATACGTCAGCTGTAAGTAAGGGACATACGCTCTATGCTATAGTACGTCAGCTGTAAGTAAGGGACATACGCTCTACGCTATAGTACGTCAGCTGTAAGTAAGGGACATACGCTCTACGCTATAGTACGTCAGCTGTAAGTAAGGGATATACGCTCTATGCTATAGTACGTCAGCTGTAATTAAGGGACATAAGCTCTATGCTATATATTTCTGGTGTCCCCCGCCGTGATGTTGCTGGAATATTGCTAAAGCAGCGTAAAACCAAACTCAGTCAGTCAGTGTAAGTAAGGGACATACGCTCTGTGCTATAGTACGTCAGTTGTAAGTAAGGGACATACGCTCTATGCTATAGTACGTCAGTTTTAAGTAAGGGACATACGTTCTATGCTATAGTACATCAGTTGTAAGTAAGGGACATACGCTCTACGCTATAGTACATCAGCTGTAAGTAAGGGACATACGCTCTATGCTATAGTACGTCAGCTGTAATTAAGGGACATACGCTCTATGCTATGCTATAGTAAGGGACATAGCTATGTACATCAGTTGTAAGGGACATACGCTAATAGTACGTCAGCTGTAAGTAAGGGACATACGCTCTCTAAGTACGCTGTAAGTAAGGGACATACGCTCTACGCTATAGTATGCTACGCTCTAGTACGTCAGCTGTAAGTAAGGGACATACGCTCTACGCTATAGTACGTCAGCTGTAAGTAAGGGACATACGCTCTATGCTATAGTACGTCAGTTGTAAGTAAGGGACATACGCTCTATGCTATATATTTCAGGTGTAAGTAAGGGACATATGTTGCTGGAATATTACTAAAGCGGCGTAAAACCAAACTCAGTCAGTCAGTGTAAGAAAGGGACATACGCTCTATGCTATAGTACGTCAGTTGTAAGTAAGGGACATACGCTCTATGCTATAGTACATCAGCTGTAAGCAAGGGACATACGTTCATCAGCTGTAAGTAAGGGACATACGCTCTATGCTATAGTACGTCAGTTGTAAGTAAGGGACATACGCTCTATGCTATAGTACATCAGCTGTAAGTAAGGGACATACGCTCTATGCTATAGTACGTCAAGTTGTAAGTAAGGGACATACGCTCTATGCTATAGTACGTCAGTTGTAAGTAAGGGACATACGCTCTATGCTATAGTACGTCAGTTGTAAGTAAGGGACATACGCTCTACGCTATAGTACGTCAGTTGTAAGTAAGGGACATACGCTCTACGCTATAGTACGTCAGTTGTAAGTAAGGGACATACGCTCTATGCTATAGTACATCAGCTGTAAGTAAGGGACATACGCTCTATGCTATAGTACGTCAGTTGTAAGTAAGGGACATACGCTCTACGCTATAGTACATCAGCTGTAAGTAAGGGACATACGCTCTATGCTATAGTACATCTTAGTTTTAAGTAGGGGGACATACGCTCTACGCTATAGTACGTCAGTTGTAAGTAAGGGACATACGCTCTATGCTATAGTACGTTAGTTTTAAGTAGGGGACATACGCTCTATGCTATAGTACATCAGCTGTAAGTAAGGGACATACGCTCTATGCTATAGTACAAGGGACATACGCTCTACGCTATAGTACATCAGCTGTAAGTAAGGGACATACACTCTATGCTATAGTACGTCAGTTGTAAGTAAGGGACAGTATGTTGCGCTTATGCTATAGTACAAACTCAGTCAGTAAGTGTAAGTAAGGGACATACGCTCTATGCTATAGTACGTCAGCTGTAATTAAGGGACATACGCTCTACGCTATAGTACGTCAGTTGTAAGTAAGGGACATACGCTCTACGCTATAGTACATAAGCTGTAAGTAAGGGACATACGCTCTATGCTATAGTACGTTAGTTTTAAGTAAGGGACATACGCTCTATACCTAAGTACATGAGTTCCACGTCAGGGGCATCCACTCTACACTGTTGTACGCCAGAAAGTCAGGGTAAATATCCTGACTGCGGCGTTAAACAACACTCAGTCACCCTTCCAGTAACTTGTAATACAAGTAGGTGTTGTAGCTTGCTATTTAATGAGTCTTCATATGACAATTGTTCAAATGTTCTAAAATACGTACCATATAACAAATTCAAAGTTTGAAAATATTAATTGTCATTTATATTCTATGTTTCAGTTCAGATGTTCAACATGATTTTGAAAGAGGATTCAGAAGAACATAATTTATGATTTTTCTTTTTCAATTGTATATTTTATATCACCGGAATATGTGCAATAAAACATATAAAAACATTACCATTTCCGTTCTTAATCATAAAAGAGGTTTTCCCTAGAACCAGTTGTTTCATATTTAAATTTAATAGTTATATAAGCGTTGGTTGAATGCGTGACAAATCCCAGCTACGGACTCTTTCATGTTGGGCCAATTGATCTGCCTGTTAAATGAACACCTGCCGTCCGTCGTTGTGACAGTATCCGGAGAAGATGCTGGTTTACAAAAAACATGTGTCTCAATATACCTCTACAAACAGCCCGTATGGACATATATTACCTGTCACATTAGAGAGAGTCGGGCTTAATGAGACAGATATGTCATTTAGAAAGCTGTCTTCTAGCATTTATTATTCTATTTATACACAGATGAAAAAAACCTTTCCGGTTTAGTCGCTTATTCATATAAAATAAGGGTCATTCAAAATTGTAATAATTAAATGTTAATTCTTAAAACACTGTCTCCTGTGGAGAAATAAAATTGTTTATGTCATATATGTATACAAAATAACATACTTTTGTTAGAAGGCACGAGTTTCTACATCGGCCTCTTGATGCAACTTCTGTTAGCAGGAAATCTACTTCCCATCAAAAGTTTAGACTCACTACTGTTAATATAGCCACTTATTTCAGGCACCTGTTTTAAGGTACTGTTCACACATGAACTGATGTATTGTAAACAAATTCGTAACGTTGAAAAGATTATTGTTATGAGTTCAATAAATGATACAAATCAGTGAAAATTGGCGAATTCTTAACAAAATTCCCCCAAAGTTTGTTCCCCCAAGTTAGTGGAGACATCAATCTTCGATGTCACCATATACATATATATACATAACATACAGTGAGTGTTTTAAGTGGGTCTAAACTTTTGATGGGTAGTATAGAAATGGAAATGGAAACAAAATGAAAGTTATATCTGTTGTTTTTGATACACACGGGGTCAAAGGCTGATCGAATTTCAATAAACTCCCGAGCCTCTAATGGAGGATAACAATATGATAACCATAGATAACGAAGCATAATACTGTGGATCAGTCCATGAGTGAGGGAGTTAAAAATTAAAGACACATGGGCAATGTTTCAGCCATATCGTGACTAAAACAGGCCATAGGTTACTATAGATGTTTAACTGCAAAATATGTCGCCAAAGACAGTAAAACTACTAGAATATCACAGTCAGAGATCTAAAATTAGCATTAATTATACCACTATCTTGGATATTACAATGTAAAATGGGCTATAGATTGCCAGCAACTGAAGGTAGATCACCTTCCATGGGGATGAAGTGTTGTTTAGGGCACAAGTAGAAAATCCCTTCTCGCATGTTATTCAATTGTTTAAATAAACATTTTGAGAATTGTTTAGCTACTGTTGCTATTATATAGACATATGACATGAAATATTCAGTTAGTGTTAACTGACAGATGATATTCATCATAACTGTGGTCAAAGGGAGATAACCAGTCTTGAGCCTCATTTCAACTTTTTCGCCAGAGGACATAAGTACATGTAGTAACTGACAGTTATTCTCGGTAAGAGGTGGCACTGGTTACACTGCAGCTAGCACCTGCAAATATCACTCATATATAACAAATAAACCAAATACTGTAAGTATAGAAACTAGTAATATTTTATTCCACAGATTATATGTACAAAAAATGATGAAAATGAAACTACAGAAAATATAAAGTTATTAACATATAGACAGGTGGAATGTTTCACATCATGTTACAGATCTGGAAGATATTTTTGTAGACAGAATCATTAAAATACAAAATACTTGACTGCAGAATGAGAAGTGAGACAAAATATATGCTGGCAATATCCCTGAATAACACCCCAACATTTACCCTCTCCATCTGAGCCAGGCAATTGATAGAAACATTCTTGCACATTCATGCAAAACATGTGTTTTATTCCTGTGTGAAGCTTGGCTATTTGTTTGAGACAAGATTGCTACAAACCAAATCATCATTTTCTTGTGGTAGGAGGAAATAAACGTTTTTGTTCAGACTTTCTTTCTGGGCAATCTACAACAATAGCAAAACAGTTATTTTATGTAGCCCTGCTGTAATATCGCTGGAATATTGCAAACATTTGGTGTAAAAAACATACTCCATCACTCTCTCTCTCTCAGAATATCAAAAGGTTGTTTGCTAAGGTAAGAATGTGTCAACCTTGAATCATGAATGTATAACATATGGATCAACCAGTTATGTTTCCTTGAGCGCCAAGTTATTTAGATGAAGGGGGTAAACGTGAATGATGAAGAACAAATAAATTATTTAAAAAAATAATAACATTTATATTTTGTGTGTAGAATCTGGAATGTGTTCAGATCAGATCTAATGAATACACTTGTGCCAATTTATAATAAATTGTTGTTTTTTGTCTGTTTGCATGAAATCTCCGCATGTAAGATTAACATCAGTGAGCACCTTGGCAGTGAACACACATAACCTAATCCTGAATAAACACACTTGTTATCCTTCACACGAAGTGTACAAAAATAAGATAAAATATTTCCTATGGAATATTTAAAAATAATGATGATAATAAATAAAAGTGAATTCATTTAGTATAAAGTGACCATCTAGATATACAGTGAATAAACGTATCTACAACTACTTGATGTTGGACTAAAAAAGTGACAATTTGATGAAAACATGTTCAGGAAGTGTATACATGAAAACAATGCAGATGGAGAATGCTGAACAATCATTCTGTAACAATAATCAATAACAATTACAAGGCAACAGGACATATCACAGCTCATGATGATAAACAACTCTAAACAGTCATGGCCTCCACGTCAGGAAATCAGGGAAACAGCTGTAGTTTTTCAGAATAAATGACCATTTTATTTTTGTGGAATATGTGTCAGAATCAGTAACAGAGGATACTCCACCATTGACTAATTCCACTCACATTGGTAGTTATTTACCAATACAATTCCAATACTGTGCAGTTACTACACAGACAGATTTATCTTTTCTTATACCAATGCTTTAAGTGGATCTTTTAACAACGAAATGAAAGTGTGAAAGACCCCTTTACCTTAGATATGCGAGACCTAAGATCTGATAGGGTGTCTTAGCACTGATTTATGTTTAACCACTTGAAAGAATATCAACTGATATTTTTCTCCTTTACCCACACAATTCATTGACTATGGAGACATGTTTAATATACAATAAGGCATCTTCTAGAAGGGAGAGTTACAGTTTAATAAGATCTTGGGTCAATACGTCTTGTAGGGGACAGAGATCGCGCCCTGACTCGGGCCCGAGCTGCCCTCCTGCGGGACTTGTCACGTGACCTGCGGATGAGGGGGTCGGTGGCCTCCAGAGCCCGCCGTGTGGTGCTGTAGTCGCTGGCGAAGCCGTCCTCCATGTCAGCGAGGGCCTCCTCCAGATTCATGCTGGTGTGGGTCTGCTTATGGTGGGTGTGGATAAGCTTCTCTAAGCGGGAGATGATCTCGTAGTCTGGGACAGCCAGAGAGTTGATCTCGAGGCCCAGCATACGAGCCACCACATTGCGGAAGTCCAAAAGCTGTCAAATAATGATGATATTGCATGATGTGAAGAAACTGTTTTACACGTAGTATTTATGTCAATATATGCTAAAACTGTGGCTGTACCAGCATCACTATTTGAAACAGGCTGTGAGTTGTGATCACCCTGAAAGCCTGCCAATCACACCGCATGCTCATACAGCTTTGAGAGTCAGCATGGTGCTACAGATTCACTTATAATTCTTAGCCATTATGACCTTTGGAATTAGTCACATCAAAGACCCATGTATGATTCTGCACTTTCGTACAATGTATGACGCCCATTCTGGTGTCCCTCGTAATGGTATTTCTGGAATATTGCTAAAAGTGACTTAATGCAACACACTCACAGAGATCTTCACCAAACCACAAGGCGTACTCCAGTTAAGATACAAATATAATCAGCTATCCCCCAAACCACACAACACCTATAAGGAGATGTAACTGTTTAGTTTCATCTGACTGAGGCGGTGGGGTAGCCTAGTGGTTAAAGCATTCGCTCAACACACAAAGACACGGGTTCGATTCCCCACATGGATACACTGTGTGAAGCCCATTTCTGGTGTACCCCACAGAGCTATTGCTGGAATATTGCTAAATGTGGCGTAAAACTAAACTCACTCACTTGCCATCAGAGCTGCCCATACCTGTTTCTCTCTGTGCTGGATGGTCTGTAGCGCTGTCTTGGTGGTCCTGAGTTCACCAGAGAGAGCGTGCACAGCATTGTCGGACACAACCTTCTTCTCTTGGTTCTCGTTCTCGTGGTACTGCACCTCCGACTTCAGGTTGGCGATCTTCCGGCTCTGTTTCTTGCGTAACTCCTCAAGTTCGTCTACCTGATGAGCCAGCTCATCGATGTCCTTGCGCTGTTCAATGGTGCGTACCTGCCAAAGATAGACAAGTAAATGTGTATGACTGGTGTGTAACGCTGCACTCAGCAATATTGCAGCCACATGGGCTGTAAACTGAGGAAGAATACAGCAGTGATTGAGATTGTCAATGATCCTCGTTGTCAGTAACGATGACCCATAACTAACTAAGTCACCATGCCTGATCACCAGATTGATTACGCTGCCTCCTACAACAGGCATAGGTTGCTGGGGACCTCTTACCCTTAGGTTATGAGTGCTGTCCAAATATCTGCACACTGTTCTGATTGGTATCTCTTACCCTTAGGTTATGAGTGCTGCCCAAATATCTGCACACTGTTCTGGGTGCTGTTGTACAAACCAACCTTAGCGCTAAGGCTACCTTAAGTCCATGTTAAAGTATGGGAGTTACGGTCACCTTAGTGCTAAGATCGCTTTGTACAACAACACCCTGATTTCTATTTGACATCTATAAACGTTCACCTTTGTTGCGCCTAGGCTGGAATTTCTGAATATTTTTGTTACACTTGTTAGTCCATGCATAATCCAATCAAAATCATGTAACTTAATTGACATTATTTGTACAGAACACAGCTAATAAGCTATGGCATCCACTGGTGGTGCTATAGTCTAACAATATATTCAGCCTAGCATATTTAAGTTTGATAGTTTTGGATGCCACATGCAGTCCAGTGTTTCCGCTGACTTACTCATTTATCGGACACTGTGTCTGGAGACCTAACATTTTACCGTTCATGAATGAAATTTGCCGGTCATATCCTATTACCATACTGTAAGTACTCATTATAAAGTTATTTTTTGCCTGGGTATTTCCGAAACATAACAATTTTTGCGACCATGAAAGCACATTTCGCTTACCCATGATTTTTTTATTTTAATACATGATTATTTACCGGACACAGTGTCCGGCTGGCTTTCAATTTACCGCTCCCCAACAAATTTTACCGGCGATTTTCAGGTATATACCGGATAACGGAAACACTGCAGTCAGTCATGTATTCATGGATTGTGTCCATTGTGGGATATGATAATTATTGCAGATATATACAATCTCTTGCTTTTAATGCATGCACACTGAGCCAAACTTTCAATGTTTTAAAAACCTGCTTGATAATGGTTGTCGTTCATACATCAAGATGATTTGCCAAATTTAACACAAAAAAACTATTCACTAGTCCCAACTAGTGACCTTGTCTCACCTTCATTTCACTGCTGCCGAGCAGATGAGCCTTGAGGTTCTGGACTTCCTGTCTGGCGTCTGTCAACTGCAGCTTGTACTTGTCCACCAGCCTCTCCAGCTTCCGCACCCTCATCGACTCCCCGTCACGCTCCTTCTCCACGTCACTACGGCTATGCACTCGCTCCTCTAGACTTGTCATCTTCTTCCGGAGCAGGTCAATATGGAGGTCCTTGCTCTCCAACTGCTCCTTGAGACTCTTCACCTTGCGCTGAAGGTTGTATATATGGGTGCTGCGGTCGTTCAGTGCATCTCCTTCAAGTTTCACCAGTTGCGGCTCGCGTGCCATGATGGCGTCTATTGTCATGTCAAAGCCAAGGTCAAGGGCAATGTGGTCCATCTTCATCTTCTCACCCAATCGTTGCAGCAGACGCATGTACTGAAGATGGAGAGTATGTACATGTTACTGAAGTTGTACTCTCAGACAAGGTGATAATATTGAGTTTGTAAGGTTCACACTTTATTTTATAAACCAAATATTTAATGGATATTTAATTACATATTCGAAATCAATTCCAAATAATTTGATGAGGTAAGTCAAATGCAAAAGGAATATTGTGCATCCTGGGCCTTTGACATTTAATAAGCAACAGAGAATCCATTGATTGTGTTTAAGTATGAAACCGTAATGAGAAGAAGCCATCATTCCTTCAACCCAGTTCCATAAAAATTACACTAAAAGTTCAAATGGTTGCTATCCTAAAATGTTTTCCCACCTTTTCTTTCTCTGTCTTGAGCCCTTCACGGAGTACATCCCCAGCTGCAAGCTCGCCTTCTGTACATCGCAGTCTTTGTTCCAGATCATACAAGCTGGTCTCATTTTGCTTGAACCTCTGGTTGGATGATCGATTCATCTGATACTGATTGTCCAGCTGTTCTGTTAGGTCTTTCACTCGGGATTCCAGACTCCCCAGTTGCTGCAAAGGGAAAATACACTCGGTCATCGAAATCAGGCTAACAAATGAGATCTCTTGGTTGAGATCAAACAATCAATTCTAGGACATAGCTACAATGAACCTGCATCAAAATGCTTTGCAGACCATTGTAACAGTTTTAGACAACATGACATCACAATCCAATGACATCATTAATTGTTCTGCTACTGCAGCTGATGACAGAACTTTTTACACTTAACACAATGGTCATTACTGTGTGCAAACTGAAACAGTTTCAAGAATGATGTTGGATGAGATGGATGTCTTTTGATATAAAATATATTAACAGCCATCAATAAAAGTTTCCATCTTCCTGGCATTTCACAGTTTCAAACTTTCATTTAGGCGAAGAGACATGAATGTCTGTATCATCATACTATCACTAGTATCAGCAGAGTGAAATACACCTATAATCTTCCTCTGTGTCTTATACAAATGCAGGGAGATCCATTTTGGTTCCATTCAAGATAAAACAACTCAACTCCTGATTTTAGCTAGACTCATATGAAGAATAATTATTGCTTCTATACTCACTATTTCATACTCCTTGTTTGTCTGTGCCATCCTCCTAATATTGTCCTTGATCATGTCTTCACTGGGCTCAACCATGGTGTAGGAGTTGCTCAGGAGACCCGCGATCTGCTCCCGGAACAGATGGTACTGGTTCTCCCAGCTGCGAACATTGTGCGACGTCTCACGCACCTCCCGATCCAAAGATGATAGACGTCCCTGTCTCAGTTCCAGCTCACCCCGAGTGGCATCCAGGGACCTCTGGTTAGCATCTAGCCTCTCCTTCATCAACTCAATCTCCCGCTCCACTTCTCGTTTCCCTGCCAATGCGTTGTCTCTTTCCTGGGGATAATGTACAGGAAATGTTAACAAGAAGACAAAGTCATCAATATCCCCCGCAATGGCAAAATACTCTTCATGAATATGTCTACGACTTATGATTATGTCAAATGTTTTGGTGTGTATATAAAAAAGTGGAAGGAGAGTATTGAAAGGTTTTAAAAGAAAGGAGCACTACCACCAGTTTCAGTCTAAGTCAAACTTGTTGGCATGGAAATGCAAAGATATTTTATTTAGAATCCAAAATTACCAAAAGGCACCAGTACACCACCAGACCAATCTATGTGCCAAGTTTGGTGAAGAAATAGTGAACGGTTTTAGAGTTCTGCTCCGGAAAAGAGCACTATCACCAATTTCAGTCAAAATCAAACTTGTTGCCATGGAAACGCAAAATATATTTCATTCAGAAATCCGAAACTACCAAAGGCACCAGTACACCACCAGACCAACCTATGTGCCAAGTTTGGTGAAGAAACATTTAACGGTTTTAGAGTTCTGCTCCGGAAAAGAGCACTACCACCAATTTCAGTCTAAGTCTAACTTCTTGTCATGGAAACACCAACAAATATTTAATTCAGAATGCCAAAAATACCAAAAGGCACCAGTACACCATCAGGCCTATCTATGTGCCACGTAGGGTGATGAAATAGTGAACAGTTTTAAAGTTCTGCTCCAGAAAAGAGCACTACCACCAATTTCAGTCAAAGTCAAAAGTGTTGCCATGGAAACACACAAAATATATTTAATTCAAATTTCCAAAACTAGCAAAAGGCACCAGTACACCACCACACCTATCAATGTGGAAAGTCTGGTGAAGAAACAGTGATTGGTTTTAAAGCTCTGCTCCGGAAAAGAGCACAACAACCAAATTCAGTCGACGTCGAACTTGTTGCCACGGAAACACAAAAAATATTTTCTTAAAAAATACAAAACTACCTAAAGGCACCAGTACACCACCAGACCAATCTATGTGTCAAATTTGGTGAAAACATATTGAATGCTTTTAGAGTTCTGCTCTGGAAAAGAACACTACCACCAATTTTACTCAAAGTCAACTTTGTTGCCATGGAAACGCAAAAAGTATCATGATAAGAAATCCAAAACTACCAAAAGGCACCAGTTCACCACCAGACCTATCTAATGATGTAATTGATAATCACGCATATATCATACATATTTTATAAACCATTCAATGTTTCTGGGTTATCACTATTCATAAAGTAGAGTGTACATTTCATGATACTCCCACTGACTTTGTCTTGAACTTGGTGACCCTGTTTGTATATTATGGTTTACAGGTGATCAATGTAGAAAGTTTTACAACAAACTTTTCAAAAAGTACATGCTTGCATTCATAATGAAAAATTACTCAAACTATGAAATAAATATATCTTCATACTGACAGGGTCACAAATCAAATAACTGTAAGCATTTGGTGTTTTTTAGCACTTCTAGATATTTCTTGTTTAACACTGATTTATAATCAGTTCACCATCTCTTAGAATAAATAAACAATCCCCAGACTACAACTTTCCAAAATCTTAATAATGATCACAAATGAAAAATCTAGGCACAGTGAAATCTGATTAACCCGATGATGTGTTGACATATTATTTGAGACCAGTAACTTCATGGTTTCTACAGTATCGTTATAAGCATTTGTTATGTCGGTAGCCTTGAACTGCAGGTAACATTCAATGATGTCATTAACAAGCTACACTGCAATAATAACTGATTTTTAAAAATTCCACAATAATCCTGATTTACCATTCTGATGGAGTCAATTTCACTTGTGTATCTTGTGGCCACCTTCTGCTCACGTCCGACCTCTGACACCAGCCTCATTATGGTTTCCCGACTGGCTTTGGTCTCCATTTCTGTGTTGTTCAAGGCTTCATTCAGGGACAGCAGTTTCCCTTTCAACATAGCGTTTTCCTGCATCAGATCTGTTAACTGGAAGATGAAAAATGCCAGTTCTATTACCACATATTTCAGATATCAATTATTTACTAATCTAATAAATAAGAACAAACGGCCCTACAAAGAACATAAACTATTTAATCTGACAAACACCATAAGAAATACATTTTGGCACAATAACATTAATTGTGACATTTTCAGTTGTCTTCCTGTATATTATTTAAAAAGTTAACTTTGCACCTTACCTTCCTGACAATGGTTTCGACTGAAGCGGGTGTAGACTCATACAAGTCGTCAACTCTAAGCAGTCCACTCAGATGGGCCTGGAGTTCTGAAAGCCTCTTCTGGCACTCATCACCTCGGGCCTCGGATGCCTCGCGCTCTTCCAACTGTTTCCTGAGTCTCCCCTCCAGCTCCAGGATGCGATCCTGGCTGTCACGGTTCTCCCTCTGCAGTGTTCCAATGGCGAACTCGCTGCGTCCAGCGACCGTTTCGATAGACCCAGCCTTGTCCTCCAGTTCGCGAACCCTGTCTCGGAGCGACTGCACCAGGGCTGTCAACTTGGCTTCGTTTTCGCGATTTGTCTCCAGCAAATGCTGAAGCTCCTTCACTTTTATAGACTTCAATTCTAATTCACTTTCTGCCTCCCTCAGCTGAAAAATATTGATAATGTAACCTTATACTCTTTACAAAAACTTTTTGATCATGGATGCTTATACTAGCAGCATATCAATCAATGCTTGAACACCTAAAAGTAAAAAATCAGTAAATTTAATCATTCTACCTGTATCTGCATTTTCTCAAACTTGACCTGCATAGATGCCAATTCACTGCGGGACTGTTCCACTGCTGTCCTGTCTCCCAAGAACAGAGTGTCCACCTGCAGGTAGAATATAGTTATATACATAATTTTTCTTAGTCAGGGTCACTGGAAGAGCCTCCTCCACTCTATATTTATTCTCCAGGTAAATCAACTTGTGTCATTTCATGTAATATGGGTAACACTGGATAGTTTACTGTAGACAATATCAAATATCTTACCCGCAATGGATCAGGTGATCTGTGAATTCTTGGCGCAGAGTCCAAACTGAAAAACAAATAAAAACTGAATGTGTTAAAAATGTGAAAATGAAAAGCTCATAAAATAAAAATAAATACAAGACGTCTCATAGTTTAAACCCTTTAACCATAATCAAGTTACAATCATATCACATTTAACATGTTTTGACAGTTTTGGGATGAGAAGCTCTAAACCTTTTCAAATGTCCATGTTCATCATTGATGACACAAAACTGGTCATATTTTATACATGATTAAGTCAGTTTCAAGAGTATTTATTGATATATCATATGTCTCTGTGAAAGAAACAGGAGTGTTGTTTATAATGATTACATAGAAATGGATTTTTGTAAATAAACAAGACCTAAGGCAAACAGGTGGCAAATTGAAAATTAAACATCTTCCACATTGATTGTAGTTTGATAATAACCAGAGTATTTACCTTGACAATTGCTGTATGAGGGCATCTTTCTTTCTAAGCTCATCTCTGGCAGATTTAAGCTGATCAGACAGCTGAAATTGAGGCATCCAAATAATATACATGTATTAAGGACATATAAAGAGTAAAACATATGTATCAGTATTTAATTTGTTTTTAGCAGCTTTCTGTTGAACATAAAGAAGTGCCAGTTCATGGTTTTACAGATTACATTTCTATTTTCGGGTATCTATCTATCATGTGTGTTTATTCAGGTCCAAATACATATGTTTTATAAAGTCTGGTTCACTTAATTTATAAACAATATCTGTTTGTTAATTACATCATCAACAAAACTAAGTATTTACAAACCAGTCTCCATATGAAAATATTTTCATTAATTCATTATCTTGAATCTATCATTTTGATTAAACTTCTATTAATTAAAGTGAATTATAAAACAAACTGTTATTTTCAAAGTTGAGATTACCCAATTACAGATTCAGTGAAAACAGAGCACCAGACATAATTCTTACTAACAGGCATCAAGAATAATCTTTTAGCTATATTCACTGTTATTGACATCTATTGTTTGTCCATCACTTAGATAAACAAAGCAAAACAAACCCAGATCAAAATTATGTTTCCTTTTCAAGATAACTGTACTAAATGACTTTTTGCACATCACAAAAAGATTATTAAATTTTAACTGACTTTTTCAAATTTGACATAACCTACAACTCATATAAATGACTTAAAACAAACCCATGTTGTGCTGCTAGGTAGCATGTAAATAATACCTCAAGGGAGATCACTCTTGGTTGTTATGCAGGGAAACACATAAATATTGGATAATGTATTATTTTTTTAAAATATATAACTAATGAAAATAGTTTCATTTTTGTAGCAATAATTTCTATTACCTGACAAAAATATAAAACATCCGGTTGAACATTTACACTTAATTATGACTGACACACTAAAATTCCCATCATCCACAATATTGATCTATTGTCATTAATTGGTTGAAACCTACATTTACAGGAAATTCTGAAGCTGAAGTTTTATGACATGTACAAAGGACATTTGTGAACAGTGGGTATTTAAATCATAACATTTGACATTTGCTTCAGTAAGATAGGTAAATAGTCTCATCAAGTTCAAGACTCGACATGTCTACAATAAGGAGGAAAGGGGGTATGTGGCTTTAATCTTATTTACAGATGTTGCATATAACATTTCTAATACAAGCATCGTAATAAATACTTTTAAGTATAAAATACTTTTATTTTACAGGCATGTTCTTCTGTCAATCCGACTGTTACCATGCCAGTGATGATTTGCCGGGTCTCCGAGTGTTGTCCCATTACAAAGACTATATATGTTAATATAAGGGTGATTTAATGAAAATACATCGATCACACTCTCACCTCGGTAACCGCTCGTCGGCTAACGTCTCCCTGGTTGTATCTGCACAAGTACTGGTTAGCTGATGGAGATGTTGGCTGATATCTGATGCCAAGTTCTTCTTCTAATTCACGTATCCGTCTGGCAGAAGGGGAAGTGCCATCTAAAATCCTGTTTCTGTTCAGTTGACCGATATATGGCAGATTTTCTCTGTCCAAGTCCCTAATATAGTTAGCCATTGCTGACCAGTATGCTTCTTTTCGTTAAATTTGCGTGATTATTAAATTCCGTGATGGGAGCAGTGAGGTTGAGAGAACCAAGTCATACACACTCGCGAAACTCCCTAACCGAGTGTGACATAGCAACTGGGACAACACTACATAACAACCAAGCACCTGCTCCAGGGCTTCGCCCTTTTCCGGATAGCTTCGGAAAAGACGGAGAAGACCGAAGTGGGAATTACGTTCGGTCGTTCTTGAAGGTCAAGGTGGATCCATTCGGAGAAAACCAATAGGGTGTTTTATTGGTGTATTTTCGGAAAGAGATCAAGGATCAAGGAACAAAATGTTCTACAAATACTGCGGAATGACCGGGGCTCTTGTTCCATCATCACAGCTTGCAGCATATCAGCCACAAGTAAGCTGACCACTGTCTGTTACACACATTGTCCAATTTTCGTTCACTTATGGCATGGTCAATATCACCCTGGGCCTGATTCTGCGTATACCATATCTGTATACAGATCAGCTAAATTGTGTCCTCTTGATTGTGATTTTGAGAATTGTAAGTATCCATGGATTTGATATTGGAGGATGAAACCATGAAAAATAATGGAAATGAGATCAGTGATCTATATGCTCACAAAATGCTTAAAACACTAGTAGATGATACCGGGTTTCATTCGTTAGAACTATTCTTTTTAGTCATGGTTTTGGAAATGTATGGATCGCTCAAAATGTACTAAGTATTACACAATATTTGATCAAATTATTCCAGCAGAGATGCAAAGACATTTATCAACAGGACTGGTATAATGAAATAACGTCATCAACCTGTGTCAACTTTTATTCAGAATATAAATATTGTATTAATACAGAAATTTACCTTTCAAAGATTAAATCACCACAACTTAAGCGTACGCTTACTAAATTTAGATGTAATGCTTACAACTTCAAAGTCCAAGTGGCGTGATTTGCCAAAACTTCAAATGCAATAGATATCCAATGTCCATTCTGCAATTTATCGCAAGAAGATGAGTATCATGTATTACTTGTATGCCCGAAATATTTAGAAATAAGAGAAACATATTTGCCTTATTTTTTCTATAACCAACCTTCGAGACAAAAATTCTGTATGCTACTTCGCACAGAAAATATTGACTTGTTGTTTAAGCTAGCCCTTGTGTTGTACCACATACTTATGTTGAGAGAAAAAATGTAAATTGTGAATGGGTGTTTATGGATTTATTGATGTTCCTATAACTCGCGTATTTACAGGTTTCGCATAAATGCACTGTTCTTATTGTACGCATGTACTATTGGCCTCAGGGCCACATATACAAATAAATATGTCTGTCTGTCTGTTTGTCAAAATGCCTTTGAAATACCTTCAGTAATGATTAACGTAGGGTACTAAATAGACACATCATGATGGACTTCATATAATGATACATTAGAAAAGGGAGAATTACATGGAGGAAGACCGAAACGACAAGGCAATGTAAATGTTAGTTCCTCCAGAGCTAAATTGTGAAACAAATTAATGAGCACACAAGATGTCAACAATCAAGATACATAAACACACTTTTTATTATGAATACACAATGCCGTTTAGCAAGTGTTCAAATAGTACACATGTTATATTTGTGATTACACTTTCTCAGTAAAGTACAGATTCTAGTACTTTTGTATGGTTGAGTCCATCCAGGATTTGAACCCACATCTCAAGAGTCAGGCACTTAATTGCCCCACTTGTGGAAGCTGCAGTGGGTTAGATGGCTGACTTTGTACAGAACAGATTCTAGTGCTTTTTATTGGGTTGAGTCCCATCCAGGATTTGAACTCACTGGCACCTGATCACCAGCAAACAAAGTCAGCCATCTAACCCACTCTGCTACCACAGCTTCCACAAAAGTGAAAGTCTGACAACTGGTTGTGTAGAGCACAGACTTTGTGTACCCCTCTGATAAATGTATATGGGTGCTGCTCCCACAATGCCATATAGAAAGTGGATTAATGTAACATATGTTATATTTGGGATTACAGTTTCTCAGTAAAACTGAGTGGGTTAGATGACTGACTTTGTGTGCTGGCAATTAGGTGCCTGACTCTGAGGGTGTGGGTTCAAATCTTGAATGGGATTCAACCCAATAAAAAAGTACTGGAATCTGTACTTTACTGAGAAAGTGTAATCCCAAATATAACATGTGGTACATTTTACCACTTTCTAAATGTCATTGTGTATTCATCCTGAGGACTAGTTGAAATTTACTCCTTTTAAATCTTTTGCTATATATACTAGCCACATAAAGAAACTGTGCACACAGAAAATTCCTTCAGAATTGGAATACAACACAGAAAAGACGAAATGATGTGGACACTTTATAAGCTGAAGTTTCGGGCCACAACAACATGTCAAAAGAACATGAACAAGTCAATAACGGGTATGACCATCATGCACGTGAAGCACAGCAGTGCATCGACGACGCATAGAGGCTACCAAATGAGCATTGAAGGCCTGGGGAATGTTTGGGACGTGGTCACTGCCGTCTGGAACCTGTGTCTGAGATTATTCACCCGAATCCATCTGTCCTGTCATGGCGTCGTTACTCGTGGACGCCCAGAACGTGGGTGGTCGGCAAATCATTACTGTTTCCATAACGCCTGACCAATGCAGATATCGTGTTACGATGACATTGGAAATGTGCTGCCACCTGTTGTTGGCTCATGCCTGCTCGAACCATTCCAATGGCTTCATGACGTTGAGCAGATGTTCATCTTGGCATGGTGTGCATGTGACTTCTCATGTGAATTTGTGAGCGTTTGCATGACCAAAGATCAAGCTTTCGACAGTGACAGCAATTTCTGAGTTTCACATGTTGTGTGCAGCTGCACAGGCTGCGGTGCAGTAACACATTGCAAGTCCATAGGCCACCATCAATGACGTCACATCGCCTGGCACCTGCATGAGCATTTGATTGTCTCCAATACTTGCTATGTTCACACCTTTATTCATGTATAAAGACGCTGTCTGCCTATCTTTATATTTTCTGTGTGCACAGTTTCTTTATGTGGCCAGTATATATATATGTTTCCATTATTAGAACTTCTCAGCTTAACTCTGTTGAAAAGGAAGCATTACCTATTGTATTGTTTCAATTTTATTATATCACTCCACTGATCTTTGCAGGGTGTGACACCATACAGTGGGAGAATCTCACAGATTCTGTTTGATTCATCAAAGACGAAAGCAGTGAGTGAGCCTGAAGCAGTATACCGTGGTTCGGCCCCAGCAAGAGGTGTAGCTCCCTCTCCCCCACAGGCTGCCAGCATCCCCACAACTGGATCCGGCAGCAGAGGAATTGTTCCTGCTAGTCAAGATTACAGCAAGATAGTTGCATTACAAAATCTTATGACGGTAATGACAAGGGCAATTACTTGCCATCTAACTTATATTTTGTAAATAAATCATGATAGCAAAACCTTAGGTCAGTGGCAAATAAATGGTTTTAGCAAAAGAACACTGCTGGATCAGACCATATAATCTATGGTATTTCTGTAGCAATGTAATTGCAAAGAGGACCAGTACATTGAAGGTATCCAATACTATCCATGTCAAAATATTTGCAGTGAATAAAGTTACCCAAGGGTAATTTTGAATATTAATGAAAGTTGTGTTCAAATGCTTGAAGTAACTTGTTTCTTTGTATGATTCATGAATCAACACAGTCAAAATAGGTGTCTACCGAGTGACTTGATTCAGAAATGATATAATTAGGCGTATTTTTTCTATTACTAGAAGTAATATCATTCTTCAAGGGATTGTTTCTGCATTGATGAGTGTGTTCCAGCATGAACTACATGTATCATGTTACAAGAGTTCTTTTGAATATATTAATACATCATCATATTAACATAAAACCAATATGAAGATAACCACTTCCATCCTTCCTCCTGTTGTGATATTGCCGGAATATTGCTAAAAGCTGTGTAAAACCCAACTCACTCACTCCTTCCTTCCTTACTTTGAATATGCTGATGTTTTACTTAGTTTCTGTTCAATTCCTAGAAAAGTGATGGGAAGCTGGTGTGGCAGAAGCTTGGTCGTGATCGTGGGATGTACATATTTACCCTAGGGCTCACAGCTATTGGTACCGTCATGACTGGTGTCCTGCTCTACAAACTCTCCTTCCCCACCAAACCACAGGACTGATGATGGTCAACTTAGTTCAGGTACAAAGATGGATGCCAGGGCGTGATGGGTTGGGAAGGCATTAAGTGCATATGTGTGTGACCCATGCTATTTCAATTTAAAGAAAATATGAAATGTCATATAGTATATGTGATTGTCACTGATTGACTTACCCAGGTATCCCGGGGCATCATATTTCCATCATGAAAGTTTTTGATGAAAAACGGCAGTTTTCGGATTAACACGATCTGACTGTGTATACATTGGATCTGTATATAGAGCCATGGCTTTGTTTTGAATTCTGGTTTTAGTGACATAATGCTAAAACAGCTTTGCAATTAATTGTCATGATTGAAACAAGAAGCAATATTACCAGTTTTTGACTACCTTGTGTGTTATCTCAAATACTAGTAATGTGTTTTAGATTCAGGATTTCATTCCCTATGTCTTAGTGCTCTAGGAAGCATCAGTTTCAGTCTCCTGAATCTATTAAATCTTTCAAGGGCATGCTATATCATGTCAAGATTTTGAACTGAGGTCTTTCTTGAAAGGAGGGCAGTTTGACTGCTTTGGGGGTTTTTTCAAGCTGATGAACAACAAAATTCTTCAATATATTTAGAGATAACGATGATTATTCCCCTTTAAACACGTTGACTGCCACCACAAGTATACTAGTAGTATGGCTGAATTTGCCACTACGAGTTATCTCGTAGCTATATCAGTGGTAATTTACAACAAGTTTCACATGTTGGCAAAACAGGCACAAGAAGCAAATGCCTCCTGGTGGTAACAAAGAAGGCCAGGAGACGTTTGTTTGAACATGATGAAATTAATGCAAAAAATGCAGGTTTCCCTTTATTGTTTATAAAGTGACACATGTTCTTTTTCTGGATATGTTGGAGTCATGTCAGGTTTGTCATATGTGACAAAGCTCACAATAAACAATGTAACTCACCAGGGTTTTTGGGCCATATTTAAGGCAGTCAAAGAATGACACAAGTGAGAAGGAGCTGACAAACCTAGCACCATTATCAGCTCATTACTTTCTAGCTTGCCAAAGGGCATCCTCCATAATCTCCAGGGTATACTGCAGTGTTTGAAATTAACTTTTTTAGGAAGTAGCAAGTACTTGCTACCCGGTTTAAAAATAGGTAGCAAAATCCCTTACCTGGTAGCAGCATTTTTTTGTATTGTGTAAAATACATCACATAATCAGTTCATAAGTAAGTACCTCTGCATACTGGTGGTATATTATTTATCAAGTTATGCAAAAATAATACCTTTACTTGTACTAGCAGACGATGTTATATCGCCCTTACGCTTCAGGAAATGATGAATGTCCATTATCAAACATTGGAAGCAGTATTGTTATATTTCTGTGCATGCAAGTTGACTGGTTCTCTGTTGCAATTATGCAAGTTTTGCGATGCGTAAGTGACCAAGAAAAGCTACGATGAGCATTTTTTGGAAATTAAAAAACCAGTATCGGTAAGTTTACAAGTGAAAGTGCACAAGTGGAGATCTTTCCTTTGAAAATGACGGCTAATTGATGAACGTAAGCAGTTTAACTAAAAATACCAGGTAGCAAGTTGTTGCTACTGTATGTTTTATTCAGGTAGCAAAATAGGATTTTGAATAGCAAATTTGTGACCTTGAAGTGTTAATTTCGAACCCTGATACTGGAACGTATTCCCTGGAGATTATCGAGGATGGCCAAAGGGACACTACTCTGTGCAGCCAATTGCTGTGCCTTTCAGGACAGGAACATCTCAGCTTTATGAAGTAAAAATATATGCATAAATATATAATAAGGAACAAATTCTTGACCAACGAATGGTGTTGTGCACACAGTTTCTGCCTTATGCCAGGATGATAACTGGAATAAATATCATCACATAACAGAATATATCCTTAGCCTTATTGTAGTAAAATATTGTTTCTTTATGTTTCAGAATGTATGTATGTAAGATAGTTGCTGATGTTGCTGGGCCAGACACTCCGTGGGCACACCTCCATACTGGAACAGTTCTTGGCAATACAGCCTTGTACAAACTTAATAAATCATCAATATTATTGTCTTGTTTTAACCTTGTTTTCTTCTCTTCATCCATCTATATTGAGATTGAAAAGGAGCCTCAGTGATAAGATTCTGAACCTAGGGAGAAAATCTAGACTTGCTTCATTTAGGACTAGCACATTACAGTAAAGGGTGTGCTGAAGGAAAAACTGATATTGTTCAGGACAGTGAGACAGACTACTGGGATTGAAAGGCACAGACCTACAAATATTGTATTGGAGGGAGGTCTGGTTTTAGGCTGCTTTTTTTGCCATATCTTGCTAGATCGGTACCTGGGAATAATCTTCCAGCCTTCAGTCCATATTTGGAAATGAGCACTTTTTGGCTACAGTATTTTCATCACACCTATTTTTCACATCACTGAGTTCTCTTGTGGTGTCACCATAGAGGTGTTCACTGTGAAATTGTTAACACACACAGTAGATAGTCTTGGTTGTATCCTTTCCATACAATATTTGGCATCGGAGGGACTTATAGTGGTCTATTAAAATTATATTCCTGAAGGATTTGTTATTGACTCCATTTGTTAGCAGACAAATCGGAATCTCAGAGTTTGTTTTGATAATATTGACGAGATATGTCCCTTTGACTGTCAGACACACCTCTCTGAAAATGCCCTGAAGATCTGCTTGAAAGAAAGGGTATTACTGGTAGGACGGCTCATAAAGATGAGTGAAAGCAACCCCATACGTACAAGCAGTTGTACACATTGCATTACACAGTGATCGCTTCAACATATCTTGCCCATCTTTATGGACCATTTCACCAATAATACATTAAGTTGTAATCTGATGTTCTGGGTGATTTTGCTAGTCAAAACGTTCCGTCTGTAAAGAACCGAGCTGTTTGCCGAGCTTCAAAAATATCCTTCAAATGTTTTAATACAGTGTTACTGTTTGGCAGTCCTAGCCAATATATGATGTGCTGTAACTGCATCTATATTATTCACATATATACGGTGTTAGCGCACACGTCCACGCATATGCACACATACGGCTTTTACCAAAATGAACTGACTTCACTGTCTTAGCCGTTGGTGGAATGTTGCCATGCAAATTCATTACTATACAGCATAGGGAATGGAGATCTTAGTACGTTTCTTACGCTCGCAAGCACATTGCTCTAACTAAGACCGATGATGATTCGGGTTAGAATTGGTCTTCTGCAACCCATTGGTGAGGGCCCATAGCTGGAAGAGGCGACTAACGAGGTCGGGTGGTGAGGGTCGTTGACTTGGTTGACACATGTCATCGTACCCCATTTGTGTAGATCGATGGTAATAATGTCAATCATTAGATTGTCTGGACCCAAACTCGGTTATTTCCAGACAGCCGCTACATGGCTGTAATATTAATTGTTGAGTGCGGCGTTACGCAACAAATATAAACTTTTGCAAAACGATTTCACCACTTGGTTAAATGTTGCCGAACTAATTCATTACGACACTACATCCGGGAAGGTGTCAGTACCTTCCAAGCACACACGGGCACGCACACACAATTTTTCAGGGTTATTAACAAACAAAACATTAAGCATATTAATGCAAAACTATAGAATAACGCACCTAAGAGTATCGTCCAGTGGGGGCGGTGGGGTAACCTAGTGGTTAAAGCGTTCGCTCGTCACGCTGAAGGCCCGGGTTCGATTCCCCACATGGGTACAATGTGTGACGCCTATTTCTGGTGTCCCCCGCCGTGATATTGCTGTAACATTGCTAAAAGCGGCGTAAAACCCAGCTCACTCACTCACTCACTCGTCCGGTGATATTCTTCTTGGTGACCATGGAGGTATGATGAAATGGAACTCACGTAATATTCCACTATTCTGTTCTTTGTGTCACTGTGCATATACTTTCAAATGGTATACTGAGCAGACATACATTTGATTTATATATATTCGTTTTTAGGCCATCGGCCCATGTACATCATTGAACATTAACCTGATACAGTGAAAGTGACAATGATTATACATTGCGGAGAGACAAACAATATTTAACATAATTTACTACATAATAATTTCATGATTTTTACTGCATACTAGTACCTTAATAAGATGTAGGGTTATCAGAAATCTAGTTGGTATATATTTACTCCTTATCAAATTATACATTGGGCAGACAAACAAAAAGTGTATAACATCTTTAACTACATTAGCATTACAATTCTTACAGAAACACAAATATTTATCTATACCCTGCCTACGACCAGTAGTTGTTTGAATAGGTAATTCGTCTAATCTAAGCAAACATAAATATCTCCTAAACTCCCAGTTTCTAATATTCATGATATAATATTCTGTATCAAAACACGATTTATAGGAAGGTCATGAGGCCCACAGTAGAATTCAAATACATACATTTTACAGAGCTCCTTGAAGTTATCCGAAATAAACACCTTTCGTGGAAAATAGCTATTTTGAGAAAGATGCTCTTATTAGAATAAAATCGCTGGTAGCATTGGAACATTCTCTTTTTCAGACTTTCTGTCTTAGTACTATTTAAATCCTGTCCAGAAACCGGTATTCAGCCCCAAATATCAGTATTTATTTTTAAAAAAAATAGAATTATAAACTTCCCAATTTATGTTGTAACTAATTACGTGGCGGCTCACAGAGTCAGGATTGAGGTAGTTTAGTATGACATTTTGCTCGAAATATAACGTTAAAATACTTGGAAATGAAGAAGATAAGTTCCACTTTGAACAATAAAATGTGATTCCCCAATTGTGCCTGGGATGCTGAGTTCATCTCCTGGGGCAAGGGAGGTAACTGACCGTACAATTCATGTCCGATGATGCATTTGATACGGGTATCGTTATGTTTTGGACCTTAATGTAAACTTTCATTTCGAGGGCTTTTCTTTCCATTCTAGTAGTGTTTTGATAATGTGGTTAATCATTGGGTCAAATGCATGCTTTCTTTTGTCTGTCAGTTTATTTAAATCAGTTAATTCAAACAGAGACCATATAATAGATTTTTCAAAGTACTTGTTCGAACATCAGTGTCACTGTTATTCTACTCCATCGTGTATGCAATGCATGTCATTCTCCGAAGAAGGTATATGCTCAGAAAGTCAGCTTTATACAAGATGTCAAAGTGTACGGGTCACCTTTCACGTTCTTGATTTCTTTCGTGTGAAACGACGTAGTTTATTCTTAGTGATCGATCGTTTATGAGAAATAAGTACTGTGACTGCAATGCAAAATGTACGTCAACGAACGCCACTATAAATAAAAAAATATTAAAAATATACAAAATCAAATCAAGATCGTGTGTGGAGTTCTGTGTGTCTCCCTCAACCACCTCTAGGCATCCGGCATACCACTAATGTATATCAGTGTACAATTACAGGATTTGCACAAATGAAAAAGATCACAAAAACTCAACAGTCTTTAGTGTATTCCTCAAAATAGCAAGATGCTCTATTGTAGTTATAAGTAGTTTTAACCAATATATTCACACCACCTTCACTTTCCATCGAATATACGAATGGACTGCTTCCAATACAGTACAAGCAGAAATTATTGAGAATTTAAGATTGTAATTATTTGTTTCCCCACTCATTACTCGCGTATTAACTGTGAATATTAGCAGAACATAACTCCAGATTCAAAGACAGGTGAACAGTTAGTATATTTTCAAGTCACCATGGGCAGCAATACAGGCTTCAATGCAGCGGGGCATACTACTGATCAAAGAAGTTAGAAAGTCGTGGTCCATGCTGTCCCAATATCGGACCACCTCTTCTTTCATTTCAGCAATATTTGTCAGATTTTTCTTATTGACACTTTCCTTCATAAGTCCCCAAACATTTTCTATTGGATTTAGGTCAGGGCTATAGCTTGGCCAATCTAATAATGTCATATTTTGGGTCCGAAATCAGGCCTGTGAATGCTTTGAACGATGTTTTGGGTCCTTGTCCTGCTGGAAAATCCAAACATTTCCATAGAACACGTGAGCAGATGGAAGTAAATGTCCCTCAAGAATAGCTGTGTACCGCTCACTGTTCATATTCCCTTCAAATACACAGAGGGGCGTTGCCCCTAACACAGATATGCCACCCCACACGTTAAATTTCGGACTGTACTTTGGGCGCTGATACAAAGGTTTTTCAGTTTGTTTAGTCCAGAATTTCAGTGTATTAGGAAGCAGCCACACAGAACTTGCATCTGAGAAAATCACATTGTCCCAGTTAAAATTTCTATGCTGTAAGCACCAGTTCAACCTTCGCTCCTTTTGTTCAGGTTTCATGATCGGTGATGGAATTCCTCAACTTTTCTGCCAACCCATTGCATGCAGCTCAGTTCTAATTGTCTCCTTACAGACAGCCACAGTTCCTCTATCAATCATATCCAGCCTGAAGTTTTCTAAACTCCTTCGTTTGTTTTTAGAAACAAGAATACCAAGCCGGCTCCTGTCACTGACAGTCAGTTTTCTGGGCCTACCTGCGCCTCCCTGGTGCTCAATGCCATATCCATTTGCAATATTTTTCAAAACACGATAAACAGTGGACAAAGGGATGCCTGTTCTACTTGAAATCACTTTAGCTGATCTGATGTCCTTGTTATAATACTCTAATTCAACATCCTCTTCTCTAAATCATCCATACTGAGGATCACTGAAAATGTCGTCTGCTAGCAAGTAAACAAAGGGGATAACTCTTCACAAACTAATGAAAAAGGATTAACGGAGTTGTCTCTTGACTGAAACCAAGCACTTGATAGCTGGTCAAGGTTGTTTATACTAGAAAAATCCAATTAAACATATTCCTAAAATTCTCAATAATTTCTGGTCATACTATATAACTATTAAATTTATATATGAAACAACTGGTTCTAAGGAAAGCCTCTTTTATGATTAAGAACGGAAACGGTAATGTTTTCATATGTTTTATTGCACATATTCCGGTGATATAAAATGATAAAATATACAATTGCAAAAGAAAAATCATAAATTATGTTCTTCTGAATCCTCTTTCAAAATCATGTTGAACATCTGA